TTTTTAAAATAAAAAAATTGGCCAGTACATGAGTAAAGGACAAAAGGATGGTCAGCGGTCTCGATTCCCATCATTTTCCTACATACACCCATAGAAAGTTTTAAACGGTATTTTTGGCTGTGTAGAAATAATCCAATAGATTTTGATATTTATAGGTGCTCAGTACATGAGTAAAGGACAAAAGGACGGTCAGCGGTCTCGATTCCCATCATTTTCCTACATACACCCATAGAAAGTTTTAAACGGCATTTTTGGCTGTGTAGAAATAATCCAATAGATTTTGATATTTATAGGTGCAAAAAGATAGCCGTAAAAGTAGATCAACGAAAAGAGTATCCACAGAAAATTTGTACCTAGGTGAACCAGGGGTAAACAAAATTAACCGTGGAACACCTAAATGATCCATGGGTATAAAAAGTTAACAGTGGAACACCTAGGTGAACCACTTTGGTGTTCCACGGGTCAGAAACGGATTTTTTTAATACTTCCTCATTAATTCACTTTGTTTTTGATTGGAAAAAATATTTTTATTGAGACTGAAACTTAGCTAAAAAGAAAGTAAATAGTATTACATCATTTTTCCTATTGAAAAAAAAAAACTAAATTACCAATTTATTTACGCAAAAACAAAGTATTGAAATGTCGAAGGAAAAGTAAAGTAATTGAATGACAGTTACTTTCTTATTGCACCTACATTTCAATAAACTTGTTTTGAAGGTGTATTTACAACTATCTAACTATCACGCATGGTTTATGAGATACAGCCTGGTGAATCACGTTTGTTGTACGTAATATTTATTTTATTCTGGTTATTCTTTCATTTCATTTTTTAGTTTTATTTCTGGTTATTGTTCCATTTTTTTGTATTTTTTGTTATAGCGGGAAAATAAATGCATCATCTGTGAAAATTACAACTGTCTAACTTTTACGGTTCCTGTTTTACCCTTTGGGTATGGAACCCTAAAAGAACTAAGAAGTTAATCAATAAAATGTTTATTTATTTCTAAAATACACTGTTTAAAAATTTATTTCTAAAAAATAATGTTCAAATTTTTACCCTGGCGTTCTCATTTAACCTATCGTTTTTGAAGAAGGCTAAGTACTCTCAGTGAAAGCAACTCCGTGAAACTTTTTTTATGATATACTGCTTAGTTCCTTTTTTAAGGTTTTAAATTATTTTTCGATATCCAGTATGTCAAATGACATTCTACCATGGATACTCGACGCATTAACATCCGCCTAACAGATATAATTATTGTCAAATTGCTCATATCGGAGCTTAGTTACAAAATGACTCATTATATCAGCTAACTTCACTTACCTACACTTAGTTGCATAAAGGAAGCTCCAATGGATGTTCTAAATTTGAAAATTTGTATCGGTAATGTCGCTTTAAATTTTAACTTATAAACACGGGTCTCATCGTTTATACAACGGTACCATGAGTATGGACATGTACTCTTATAGGTTCCTATTATGGCATGTATGGCCTATAAGACTTAAGAAATTTGTCTTATACATCACATATTGAATAAAGGTTGCAATTTCCCTCCCTTATTGGCTGTTACAGTATTTTGCTTGGAAGTGTGTAAAAAGCTAAATTATCGCGAAGCCTGTAAAGCTCGAAGTCCATATTTAAAGATTAAATAAGTGTGATGAAATCACCCTTTTCCAACATTTTAAACTAAATTTATTTAATGTGATAAAATAAAATGTATCAAACAAACTTATGCCAAAACTCGTAAAGCGATTTGCTTTATTAAAAGCAAGAGGGCTTGTATTGTTTTAATCACAGAATACGGAAAAGAGGTTAGAATAGCGATCATGCATCCTTTGTACGAAAACCGATGTCGCCAGTCTTGCCCCACTTTTAGTCCATCGTACATCAGACGAAATATTGGGTTGGCACAAAAGTAATGAGACACACTAGAAAAATCTATAATATTTCCTTTTTAAAATCAATTTTTTCGATAATATTCTAGAATGTTGTAGAACATTCTAGGTACTTCTGGAGTAGGGTATATAAAGCCGCGCTCGCGATTTGTTTAGTCAGTTTGAAGAAAAATGGACGAGCGACAAGTTTGAACATTATACTTATACGAGTACTTGTTAGGCCACAGTGCGCGGGCTGCGGCTGACAATATCAACAATGCATTAGGCGCTGGAAGTACAAGCCATGCGACGGTGTCCCGATGCTTTGACCGTTTTAAATCAGGAGACAGGAGCCTTGAAAGTCAGCCACGCTCAGGGCGACCACCCGCAGTGAATGATGACGATTTGCGCCGCGAACTGCAGTTGAATCCGGATGCTACCACTCGTGAATTAGCGGAAGCACTTAAATGCAGTCACCACGCCGTGGAACACCATCTGCATGAGCTTGGTTATCGAATATCGGTTATCGAAAAGTTTTGGCTCGGTGGGTACCACACATCCTTACAGACGCCAGTCGTGCAGTCCGTGTCGCTATCTGTCAGTCACTCTTGCTGCGACCCGACGTAAAGAGTTTTTGTCAGATCTGGTTACTGGAGATGAATCATGTATTTATTACGAGAATGATACACGTCGTGCTTTTTGGCTGCCTTGAGAAGAAACGCCACCAACTCAACCGAAGCCGAGTCAAAAGAACCGCCGAAAAATTCTGCTTTGCTGTTTCTGGGATGCGCAAGGCATACTGTTTTATGAGCTATTACACAATGAAACTATAAACGCTGACAAATATTCAACCCAGCTTACCAAATTATCTGCCGCTATCAAGAAAAAACGACGAAGACGAGTCAATGTAGTTTTACTGCACGATAGCGCTCGACCTCATGTCGCATCTGTGGTTCGCCGGCAGTTGGAGAACTTGGGCTGGGAGACGATACCCCACCCACCTTATTCCCCAGACCTCGCCCCATCAGACTATCATTTGTTTAGAGCCCTGAAACAGCATTTGCGGGGTAAACAATTTAATGATTTCTCTGACGTAGAGGCGGAGTTGAACAACTTTTTCGAGGCACAGCCATCAGAGTTCTGGGCAAAAGGCATCCAAACTTTGCCGGATCGTTGGCAAGAAGTCTTAGATACTAATGGTAATTATAATAATCATCATCATTTATTCTCTCAACACAAAATTATGTACATACATGTGAGTCTTAAGATTCTTAAAAACATTTTGTATCTTAATTTTGTGAGAGACTGGAGCCCGAAATTGGTTTCAGTAGAAACCTGTGTGTCAGGTCACCAGGATCTCCCCACAGATAAAATATAACATAAATGAAGAACCAAAACGAAAGAGAATGCAGTCAAAATGTCGCCATTTCTATACATATATGTGTGAACGCGCGCGCGCGCGCGCGCGCGCGTGTGTGTGTGTGTGTGTGTGTGTGTGTGTGTGTGTGTGTGTGTGTGTGTGTGTGTGTGTGTGTGTGTGTGTGTGTGTGTGTGTGTGTGTGTGTATGTGTGTGTGTGTGTGTGTGTGTGAGTGTGAGTTAACACTGTGGAGACTGAATTTATTACTTGTGTATATAAAATTATTTAAGATGGTAAGTTGTAACCTTTTATTGTTTACTTTTTTTTTTTTTTTCCAACCAAACATTTACTTAAGTGGGATAAGAAGGTTTTCAGTAGCTTGATAGTTAAGGGTTTTTAGGTATTTAGTCACAGTTGATTTGCAAGCGTATTTCGGAAGGTGGTAAATATTGAGGATTTTATTTAGTTTATTATTTAAATATGAGCCAAGAAAGCAGAAATAATGATGCGAGGCCGCAGTTTTTAATGATTTGCTGGGGCATACGTTGCTCTTTCTCCGTTTATTTCTGAGCAACATGGGATCATAGTGTAATTGTGAATGTTTCTTTTTTATTATAGATAGTATAAATATTTGCCTGACTGTCAATACATCCCATTCCCTAAAAAGATCCACTGTGGGATAACGAAAAGGTAGAGATGCGGCCACTTTTAGTACAGCACGTTGTGCCCTCTCCACCTCGAGTATGTGAGTTTTTGAAACACCACCCCATGCCGATATGCAATACTCCAGCAAAGATTGGCAAAGTGAAAAATACACCATTTTAATTATGTGCCGGTCGGCAACATGTTTAAGTGCCTTAAAAATGTAAATTAATTTACGTATTCTGGTTACAAGAGATTCAATATGGAATTTGAAAGACAGTAGCTGATCTATTATTACACCGAGGTACTTTATGTTATCTGTTCTTTGTAGGACAGGACAGCAACATTGTGGTGGATTATTACTACATTTATAGATGTGTGCATATATATGTTGTGTCAATGGAGGAAGTTGATTGGATTTTAATGAAAACGCAATGTATTTAGTTTTTGAGATATTTAAGGATAGCAGATTCTGTTTCAGCCAATCATCCACTCTTTTGAAACCTCTCTGGGCAGTGTTAAAAGTCTCTTTCCACGAGTCACCACTGAAGAATAACGCAGTGTCAGTAACGCAATTACATCATTGACTAAACTTTTTTTTATTGTAATAATAATAAAAAAGTAAAAACTTAAACCAAGTGTCTCATTACTTTTGTGCCAACCCGATACTTTTGTTAAATAATTTACATATTAAATTACTGGTTTCGGTTGTTGTAGTTTTCTGAATTATTTAAATGTGACTAAATAGACAGTTTTTGAAAATAGTTGGCATATTTATACTTTCAATTCAATAAGATCATATCTGAAAAAAAAAATAACAAAGAACATCCCTACTTTTAACTACAGAGATAGTTTTGTCTTAAAAGATTTTGTTCCAAGCCAATAAAGTAAGAAGTAAATTTGACAGACGTCAATGTTATGTTGTCATCCATTCATATCAAAACCAATCATCAGAAATTTAGAGTACGGGTAGAGATAGGTTCCTGTATATTCTTTTTTAAGGTGTTTCTTGAAATACTTTATATTTTTTACTTCAGACTGTAATTGGGAAGTTGTGATCATAAACTTATAGAAGCTGCTATGCAGCTGAGCAGTTCCAGCAAAGAAAACGTCGGCCTGCTTCCGCAATGCCAGGCACTAAATATGAACAGCTGTCTTTAAAAAGTGATACAGAAGAAAACGTTACAATAAACAAACCAAAGGGAAAATGGTCTGATATTTGTGTACAAAAAAGCCTGTTGTCGCTAGGTTTAATTCTTATATACTTTTCTCTCTCTATTGGCTTGACTTTCTACCAACGATGGCTGCTAAAGGCGAGTATGATTTTAAAATATTTACGAGATAGATACTAAAGAAAATTTGGTGTCTTATTATATTGAAGTTAATCTTATTTTTAATTAACTTCAATATATTAGCAGATTTAAAACTGTTAATTTTAATTAGTACATAACATTTATACATTATTGTTATCTATTTATTACTATATTATATATGTTAGACACATTATCAGGATAAGTTTGACGGAAAAGTATTAATGATGATTATTGTATCTGTTAACTGTTTGAAACCAGTCTTAATTATGATTGATTGTTAAAATTTCTATACTTTTCTATTTCTAGTTATAGGAACTTACAAGTTAGGGTCATTTCGCCTGTTGGCGTCCATCACCCAGTCTGTGTCTATCGGCCAGTTTGTGTCCATTTGAGGGATCATCCTTTGAATATTCTCAAAAATTAGAATATTAGCACACCAATAACACAAAAAGTCATTACCGCTAATACCTCAATATTCAACCTATCCTGTTTAGAAATAATAGTATGTCTGTACTGTTCAACAAGAGAATGCAGAAACGCTGTACATTATATACCTATATTGTGAAATAGTTGTATATTGTTCTGAAAAAAAAAAATATGATAGTGACTGCTCAGATTAAAAGTGGTTTGAATATTTTTTGGCCTAATCTCATTTAAAAATGTGGAGGGTATTAATAAAGCTAGAGCCCAAGTCACAAGAAAATTATAGGAATATTTGGACAGAACACAGCAAAAAATATTTTGAGAAATCTAATAAGAATTTTCTACTTAAAAAAGGAATGTAGGATTAATGTTTTAATTATTATTTAATAATAATAATAATAAAACCTTTATTACTGATTTGTAGTTTGCAATTTACAATTTATACCGAAATTCGCACATCATTCATCAGTGTGTCCTGCTGACACATAGGCCTCCTCTAACTTTTTCCATTCTTCTTTGTTTCTAGCTGTTCTTATCCATAGAGTCCCTGCTGTTCTACGTAAGTCATCAGCCCATCTCTTGAGCTGTCTACCTCTTTTCCTTTTTGTGTTATAACGCGGAATCCATTCAGTCAGGGTTTTGGCCCATCTCACTGCTGGCTGTCTTACAATGTGGCCAGACCATCTCCACTTTAGTAGTTTGCATTTCATATTAACATCCTCGAATTTGGTGATCTTGCGTAGATCAGATGCACTCATCTTATCTCTCTATTTGTATCCAAGGATGCTCCTTTCCATACTTCTCTGAGTAGTTCTTAATTTGTTTTGGAGTTTTTGGGTTAGGGCCCATGTTTGACAGCCATATGTAAGTATAGGTAATAGACAGGTGTTGAAGAGCTTTCTCTTGATACTGATTTTGTACTTTTTGTTTTTGAAAATATCTTTAAGAGCCCAGTATCGCTTCCATGTGTTTGTTACTCGCCTGTCGATTTCTTGTGGCACCTGGTTTTGGAAGGATATTATCTGTCCTAGATAAATATAGGTATTCACATACTCTATTTTTTCATTATCAACAAGTATTATTTTCTTTTTAATTATTATTTAATAGATATTAAACCTATTTTGTTTTTAAGATAGCTCAATTAACAACTACAAAAATAAAGTAAGTTGTTTAATTTACTTTTAGTGATTTATTAATGACAACTAGAGATCTGCTGAATAGTGGATTCAACAAATAACCAAATACCGAATAATATTTGGTATAATCTTTACCAAACTGAATATATGAATTATTTGGCTCAGCATTTCATTATTTTTATTAAGCCAGTGTTTCTAAGTGCTACTTGTAATAATATGGCATGTGTATAGCGGACATTAATTTTGGTAGCAAAGGACCTATATGAAGAAAAGCCCAACAGACTCTTGCTGAAGCTGAGAGCTTGCTGTTTCTGTACCATAATTTACCATTAATTAAACATAAGAACATGTATATTTATTTTACTTATCTTTTGTTTTATTTCTGATCTCTATTATATTTTTATAGCGATGATAATTTATAAATCAAATATTTATGATTTGAAGTTTAATTGCTTTATTTTATTTGTGTGGTAAAAAAAATATAAATACAAATAGAATATAAATTGTAAAAAAGATGCTGAATACCAAATACCAACCGAATATCCGGCGCATCTCTAATAATAATAATAATAAATTAAATCTTTAAAATATTAGCACTCTTCATTCCTTTTCTAAGCTGTTTGACGCAATTCGGATTTTGTGGACACATAGTGGGTAAATAGGCTAATCCCCAATTTGTATATTTAATGAAAGATATTTCGAACAAAATTGAATGCTAAATTCAAAATAGAGTATATAATTTTTTCATTTAAATTAGTATTGTGATAGTTTGATATTCATCTACAAACTGCAGTAAATGGACGCGAACAGGCGAAATGACCGTTACTTTTTAAACACACTTAAACTTGAAGTCTCAAGTCCAGCTTATTATTGGATGTATGGTCTTCACACAATTCGTCCATCCAATCATCTATTTTATGTCTTGTGTGGAGATATTGACTTATTCGACTTTTCACAATTTAAATTATTTTGTCAATGAAATATAATTTTAAATGTAGTTTCATTCAGAGAAAAATTTACCATAGGACCAAAAGAACCAAAGGTTGATTGGCTATAGAGTGGCACAAACTATATGTGTAATTTATTTTATTTTATAAGAAGTATAAGATTATCTTCATGCTGTATATCATTATCAGCCTACATATAAGTTACTGGGTTTTATTTTAAATACCTATAATGGAAAGGTTTTGCTTTTTCGTTAATTTATATGGCAGAAAATGTAATAAATTTACTGAATTTGTAAACATGCCCCTGCCCAGTAAGAGTCTAGTCTTAATTGTCAATGTTCTATTGCAGGGTTTCAATTTTCCTCTGACAGTAGTGATGTATCATCTGATAATCAAGTGGATATTGTCAGTGTTGGTCCGTACAATCTTATACCTGATCACGGGCACACCGCAGTTGATGTTGCCATTCATGACTTGCCTGCGGTCAGTAGGCCCCACCGGGCTGGCTAGTGGTATCGATGTGGGATTCTCCAACTGGGGCCTTGAGCTGGTCACCATATCTCTGTACACCATGACCAAGTCTACTACAATTATTTTTATACTCTTCTTTGCAATGATGTTGGGACTCGAGAAGAAGGTAAGTTATGTTTATGTACATAACAGATAAATATGTAATTTAATAATGCAAGTTATTAGTACTATTATGCTCTGAAGGATTCATAGGTCTTTTGAGACCACATCTACAGTTAAAGGACATTTGTAACTATTATTTATTAGTTAGGAATGTTTATGAAGTTAACTAATTGAGTTCTATCCAGTAATATTAGTTAAATGCTGTGAATTTATGAAAAGGTAAGAGATGTGAATTAGCAGGCAAGGGAGTCACAGAGCTTACTTGTTCCTGTGAAACATTCATTATTTGTGATGATATAGGTTAGGTTAGGGTTTACCAATCTCGCCGCGGGAAGATGTTCTTGGGCTGTAGAGAGGGACATCAGAAGACTTTAATGCCTCTGCGTTTAGGCTTGCCCTTCTCACTGGCGTGGGTAGGCAGAGGAGATCCCCCCACATAACCTGTGCGCTACGCAGTATTGATGTATAGAGGCAATACTGACCTTAGGTATGCAGAACTGACCTTAGGCACTAATGGATATGCCCTCCGTTAGAAAAAAAGGGGTTCCCTAACATGGGGGTAATTCATCTATATGTAGAGTTACAAATAACCAATAAGTTAAGACGAAAAATAAAAGATTATTATAACTGTATCAATTTTAAACATGGTTTAAGAAGTTATCTAGAGATGTCTTCTACTACGCACGGCGCACCAACCCCCAGGAGTTCCAATGCTAGTTGAATATATTATTATAGAATGCAAGAGTGACGACAAGGTAGAATAAGTATGCTGTTTTCATTACACAGTATATTTATTTATATATTGTATAATGACTCTGATAAAACTAATCATAATAATGCTATAATTTATAGCAATCTTACAATTCTGATAACAAGTGTTTGCCTATATAGCTCATCTTAGATAGTTAGTTTCTTTTAATAATCTATCTACATTTATAAAGTGACAAATCGCATGAACAAACAGATAAAAACATTCCTTGAATACCGCTCGTCTCGCTACTGTTAAGAGAAGAACAATATATTTTTTATTAAAAAGTTTCTGAAAATTTCGCACCTTATTGGTACGCAATAAGAAACACAGTTGTATATTCAGACGATGCGACAAAAAACATGCTGAGCCACGGAAACTGTATCGGTTGCATTCGGTTGGGTTCGTTTTCCTTATTGGTTTCTGTCGGTTAGCTATGCTATCACTTATAAAAAAAATACTACGTTTGTTAAGGCGACGTCTTCTTGTTCATACATTACGCTACTCAGCATTTCTGTAATGGTAATAAGTGGAAGCCCACACGTCAACGAAAACAATTCCAGGCAATCTTATGCGGTTGTTCCGACATAGTTGGACATTATGATAAAATCGAGTCCCATCTCAGAGTATCTGGGGCTGTGGATTCTTTAAGCATTTTTCATTAAGAAGAATGCATAAATGAAACTTTCTTTAACTCGTCAAGTCCACATTCACGCTTCTAGTCTGATTTAACAGTGGATATTTGTCGGTGCAGACTCGATTTATCAGGCTGATTGTAACTAGGCACGATTGTGTTAAATCAAGTTTATTTTATTAGTTTTTAATGTAAATTTTATTTGTAATTAAATATATGGCGTATCGTTACATTTTAGATGATTTTTATTACGTCACATTTTTTTTTTCTAGTCAGGTATTGATGTTAAAACCTATTGAATTGATATTGCGTGGGAGAAATTATTATGAGATTACCGTATAGGTTATCAACGATTGTCAACATATGCGTTGTCTGTTCTCTATTATGTAGATCTGTTTATGTATTTTGTCGTTACTGTAATCACACTGCTCGCCCGACGACCGGCGTCTGCTGCCATGACGACCGCTCGGCGCCTCCCATGCAATCGATAACTACCACGGAATTTTATTTATAATATAATGTTAGGGGTTAAAGTATGAAATAGCCGTTTTATTGTAATAAGTTCCTTGAATTGACATATAATCTTCATGGTTTGAGGTTTTCGAAAGAAACTTCATATTGTTTCTATGATGTTATTCTTTTAAATAATGTGAAACATTGGAATATCGGCTTTCAATTGTTTTTGTTATTCAACTTAGACAAAGAAGATGGATACTGCGAAAATACGAGTGATTTTTGAATAGGTGTTCCGACGCGGAAGTAACTTGGCAGAAACAGCCCGCAATATCAATGTTGCGTTTGGAGAGGGGTCTGCTAATGAACGCACCGTGCGATTTTGGTTTAAACGCTTTCGTGATGGAAATTTCGGCCACACAGGTGAATAACGATGAATTAAGAGAGATGGTGGAAGCCGATCCTAGTCCATCTACCTAGGAATTAGCGGCATGGTTTAACGTTACCTTACCCACAATATTTACTCATTTGCGTCAAAATAAAAAAATACGAAACATGGGTGCCTCATGATTTGACTGATCTACAAAGAGAATCGCGTGTTGAAACTTACGTTGCCTTGTTGAATCGGTACATGAATGAAGGAATATTGGATCGAATTGTGACATGTGATGAGAAGTGGATACTTTATGATAACCGTAAAAGAAAAATGCAATGGCTGACCCCAGGTCAAACGCCACAACAGTGTCCTAAAGCAAAACTTGCCAATAAAAAGGTAATGGTAACTGTTTGGTGGTCTCACTTTAGTTCTCTCCGATCTAGTCAAGCAATAACGACAGATGAGTATTGTGCCGAACTCCGAACAATGTTGGCAAAACTAGCACTAACACAGCCCCGACTCATGAATCGATCTTCACCATTATTGCTCGATGACAATGCGATACCTCATACAGAACGAGAAACCGTTTTGACCCTCAGGAGCTGCAGTTAGAAACCATTCGTCATCCTCCATATTCGCCAGACCTTGCTCCAACAGACTATCATTTTCCAACGGATTATTCGTGATTTCGTGACTAAGTCCTCTGAATTTAAAAAAATAAACTGAAGCGTAGATAAAAAGATTAAAACAAAATAATGTTTTGACCAATTTTATTTTATTTCTCAGGGGGTGGGTAGATTCGCTCGCTGTGATTCTTGTATCTCGAATTAAGAGGACTTTTAAAGTAGAATAGGGGATTCAATGTCGAGTTCGCGGTGTCAGTGTGTCACGGCCGGCCAGCGGCTGGCGAGGATAGACCCGACGTCAGCTCCGGTCAGTAGCACCGGTGAACAACGAAGACTCGACATGTAGGATGCGGAGTAGCGTAGGTGAGGCGGGCTCCGATGGAAGAACTCCGATTTCGGGGCTATGTAGCACACACTTAAATATGTTAGAAAATCACTTAAAAATAAAGTATTGATGAGCGAGAGGTCGTTTATATACTATTACACCATCCACTTTATGTGTTTCGATGTTATTGAAGACAAAAATTCTCCCTTTTCAGTTGTTTCTTTTTTACGATTTTTGACTACGCTGTCCTTTGGTCATCACTATTATAATATAGCTATCGCTATAGAATAAATTTACTGTCTCAAACTTTATATAATGTGATTTAGCTGTAGTCTGGTTTTAGTTTATGTACTGTTTTTAGTTTTCAAAAATGTATTCTCACGTGACGCGGTGAAGAAAAAATTATACAAATATAATAATGCTTAGACGTTTAAGTCAATACCCCGGTAAAAATAGTATCGACAAATATGTAGATAGATGTAATAGTAGATGAATCTGCAATTGTTGTTTGTGTGTGCAGTCGTGGTCGCTGGTGGGGATCGTGTTACTGATCGCGATCGGTCTGGTCATGTTCACGTACAAGGCGACTCAGTTCGATCTGCTCGGATTTAACTTCCTGCTACTGGCATCGTTTGCGGCCGGCCTGCGGTGGACGTTCGCCCAACTTCTCATGCAGAAGTCCAAGCTCGGGCTCCATAACCCCGTCGATATGGTGTTCCATGTGCAGCCGTGGATGTTCATCAGCTTGCTACCTTTCATGATTATGTTTGAAGGTAAGTACGACTACAAATTTAGTATTTACTGAATTGTTTAAATATCTTTATGATTATTTACTAAATAATGTACACAAAAGTGAGGTCCATTGTTAAAATTCATACTTTGATTTTTTTTGTAGCGATTTTTGATCGCTTGTTACTTTTTCGCTACAGACAGAGCGTATTTTCATCAATCTTCAGGCAATCCACCCATTCTTCTAACTTTCGATAAAAATTAAAATTTGTTCTAATTAATATTTGATTAATTTTGCATTTACAATGCTACGCTGAAAAATATCCTTAATGAAAAAGCATTATTCATTAAGAATGTGCTTCTGTCACCCACCAACCAGCCTATGTTACCCTAAATAGAGGAATTAATTGAACTGGACGATATTTGATCCATGAATAAATTAATACTGACGATATGTAGGCGACGCGCGCGGTCGCTGTCACGTTCGCGTAACGCTCCGCTCGACTACCCTCGGGATACACCCATTAGTGTGCGTCAGCGTCGGCGCTCGGTTCAACGATTTCGTGATATATATTTGAATTCATTTATGTCGCATATTTATTAGGCACCTGACTGACTTTTGCATATTAAATTTCATATTTAAGCCTTAATTAATTAATGAAGATTTTCGTTTTCTGTTATAAGATTTTATAAGATCTTATTCTGTATATAAGTGTAATAATATTCCAATGATATAAAAGAAAATTTTCAAATAAGTTAGCTATGTGATATATACTAACTTATTTGATCAAATTTGAATTCACAATATTATGTAGATATTAAATTTTGGAATACAGTAAAAGCCGTTTAATACTATCAATACAATAGTGCCGGCAACACGCGATTTGTTTTGTTATATAATTTTAATACTTAATACTAGTTATTTTAATACGCAATGTGTTGGCATGGGACACAGTTAATCCCTAAACCGGATAATATGGTTTCATAAAAACAAATTTTCAGGTATAAGAAGAAGATGCGCGTGATAATGGAACGCGTATTTGAATGTTCATGTACAGATTTGAAATTCTATGAATTTAGAAACAGTTGAACAAAAATTTACTCACAAAAACCACGGTGGCTACACAGCCACCTACACAATGCGTCGTGGTCGAATAGCATGACAGCCACGACATAGATTTCGCTACGTTGTTGTTCTGCGAATGCCACAAGAGCGATAACACGAATTTCGCTATGTGGGTATTTCACTGTGATCTCGACGTGTTGTGAACTATTCTTTCAAAAATAGTAACATATATAAACGTTGTACGTGTTGCAGGTCTGGACTGCTTGAAGTACCTGCAAGCGGAGTGGGCGTCCCGCGGCGGGCAGGTCACGGGGACCCTGCTCAAGGTGTCCGTGGGTGCCACAATCGCCTTCGCCATGGAGATTAGCGAGTTCCTAGTGGTCACCTACACCTCCAGTCTCACGCTGTCCATCGCCGGCATATTCAAGGTACACATATATCACGAGGCACTATTTAAAAATAAATACATATACACGGAAAAACATTAAACTTAAAGGCAGCTTATATATTCAAGAATCTTGTATTAAATCCGGCGGTTGATATTAATAATCAAAGTCGATCAGTATAGATTTCGAAAAAATAGTAGAACATGTAACAGGTGCTCTTGACTCTGGACTAAATGCGTTAACAATTTATTTATATATGAGCAAGGCATTTGATTTCGTATCGCACAAATTAATTCTAAATGAATTAGAAACATATGGCATAAGAGGCGATGCCTTGAATTGGATAAAATGTTACCTAAAAGACCGCAAGCAATCCGTAGAAATTTCCAAATTGGAAGGCAATATCAAGAAATATTATAATTCTGAATATAGCCGGAATAAATGTGGTATACCTCAGGGAAGTGTACTAGGACCTTTCCTATTACTTCTCTATATAAACGATTTACCAAATATGATCGACAATAAATGCATTTTATTCACTGACGATACTACTCTTATCATTATCTATTATATATAAAACATTAAAGATAAAGATGACGATCTTCAAAATAAAGCTAACGCAGATTTTCAACAGGTATCACAATGGTTAGTCGACAATAATCTTAAAATTAATATGAATAAAACTAAATACATAAAGTTTCAAAAAATACATAGTAAAATTAAAAAATATTACATTCATCTCAATCATGACATTATAGAAGAAGTAAATGAAATTAAGTTTTTTGGAATTATTATTGACATTTTTATATTTCTTTTTTAAATGACATGTATGACTTATAATATTTGTACGTCGTCCTGACGACAAAATATGTTGGGCTTTTAAAAATTATTAACAACATGTAAAACTATATTTCTGCAAATAAATATTTTATTATTATTATCAATAATGTTATCTGCGATAGTTCCGCGTGGGTACATGGGTTCTATGAATACCCGCGGGCCGGGTCCTTTGTCTATGTTGGTGGACTTTAATCACTGTGAACACGCCCTAATCTGCTCACTTGCATAGTCTCCGAGGCACAGTGGCGCTCGACTTTACATTCCGTGTTGGATTCTCTATGTACTTACAAAACGTAGTTTGTCTGGTAGGGTAGCTCCGTCTTTTCATATATTTATATAATGAAAGTGCTAAAAGCTACTCGATTTTGGATCTGTGCGATGTATGTGATATGGTCACTCATCCGATGATTGCTGTTTGTCAGGAGATGTTCATCCTGGTGTTGGCGGTGGAGGTGAGCGGCGATCAGCTGAGCACCGTGAACGTGGCCGGACTGGCGCTCTGCCTGCTCGGCATAGTCGGACACATCGTGCATAAGGTACACACCGCTACACACATACGCACGCACGCACGCACGCACGCACGCACGAACAGCATTCCGCTCGAGCGGGGATAGGATGATTCTGAAACCGCTATTTAATAACTTTCATCCCCTATACCTCGTCCGTTCTGTGACTGTTATGGTGACCGGCCTAGTAATTTAGTTAGACTTTAAAAAAAGCAATGGACTGCTCGTTGACCCGGATATGATTCTGTTTGAAGGTGCTCGTGATACGCGCCGTGGCCGGTTCAGTGCGCGCTCTGGACGAAGACAATTTCAAAATAAACAGACCGCGATCTACCAAAGAAGGCGACCACTCCGAGCCACTGCTCGACCAGCACTGGCAACAGAGCGACGACAGCGACCTGGACACCAACCTCGTGCTGTTCCAAGTGCTGCAGCGACGAGACGGCAGGTAGACCACCACCTTGCACACATATAAATAAGATTCAATATTACACAATACGACCTGGACTAAGATTCGACATTTGTATATTATGCACAGTTACTATTTTCGAATTATATATTTATACCTTATTATAGTCGAGAGGTAAAAGGAAATCACAAGAATTGCGTAGCGTCAGCTTTGCATATCTAGTAGGATCACAAATTTGATTTCTAGCTCGGGAGATGTGAAATCGAGGAGCCTTCGTGTTGACCAATAAATTGAGCGTAATTTGTTCATGATTTACTATTTCGGTATGAATGCCGAACTGTCGCTACAAATTCAGTAGAGTCAAAGAGTCAGATGTACAAGTATGTACAGAGTGGGAAAATGTTTGGCTCAAACCCTGTCATTACCATTGCGAGGTGCGGCAATATATGTCAACGTGAAATTGAATTAAACTTATCTAAAACGTAAACTTACAATTGTTATAATCAAACAAAACATTAGGATACTCGCGATGTATGTACGTGCACCAAACAATTAAACAATTGGACACATAAAGATATATGTACACTGGATGAATTATAAGACGGCGTTACTATTGCCAATGTAGGTCATGACAATGTAAAATAATAATAAAATTTGAATTTTTCCTTCGATTCTCCTACTGAACTACCTATGTTCAATGTAATCTTAATTTCTATACACCAATTGTCACAATTATCAATAGATGGGGCTTCCATTTTTGTAGTAATTTTCAGTATTCAACGCTCTGTTAATATTGAAATAAACTAATTATGTGCAATAGTTGCTATGCAATTAAAATTGAGCAGTATTTAGGATGGCGCTAGTAAAAGTTTTTTTCTTTCTAATATAGAAGTATATCGTCCTTTCCACCCCCCACTCCATGGTTTACATACACAATTTTACGTTGACATATTACTGGCTTTATCAAACTTTATATGTCTTAATTTGAAATCATTTTTTTTCCACCGTCCACAGTAAATCGTTGCAAAGATACAAAGTTTGATAATCGAAACGACTATATTAAATTTTATCTATCCTCTTGTGCCGTTTCAATCCTTGGTTTTTGAATTGCATTCCAATTTTGATAAGTTATTATTAAAATATTATAAAATATTAATAATACGAATGTGTCATGTAAATATAATTTTCTACCTTTGAAAAAGGATCAACAATGTATTTATCCATTTATTAATTAAGTATTTATAAATCTAACCAAAATTGAAAAGGTTTAAGTTTTCAGTACTCTATTGTTGCACACGATTAATAGTACTGCTCGGTCCCGCAGCTGACAAACTAGTCTAGGAGTATTTATATCCAGGGTTTGTATTCACTATTATGTTATGTTTGTATACACATTGTAATTTTCCATTTACCGATACTATTAATTAGCAGCGTAATTTTCAATAAATTTCATTTGATGCGATGAATATTCGTATCGTATAGTATGACCCAAAGTATTGTATGAGCATTGATTGTAAATGATATATCACAATCCATACCAATGTTACTGCCTGTCGTTGGACAGTTCGGCGACCGACAGCGTTCCGCGGTAACGATACAGAGTTCTGTATGTATCAGGCTTGTTGCGAATATCCTTCCTTATTTTGTACTCGAAGGCGGGAGTAAATAGATATTGTAGCGTATATTGTGTCAATATCGATACGCGCAACATCTATATATTTTTTGAAACACTATATTTCTGCATCTATGTGATACATCGGATTCGGTATCTCGCTCGATATCCGCATCGTAATAGAATTGAACCGATTCAAGCGTTTGGATTTCTGAGTGAAATTTGGAGTTAACGTTGTTTCCATACTTTTGGGTATACTTTGGCACATTTTTAATTGACTCCATTTTGTGAAGAATACGAAGCATGCTTGTGAACGAGCATGCTAGTCAATCGCACGTGGGTCTATTTTCCCGCGCTAAATGAGCAAGTGTGAATGTGGCGTTCTGCTTGATTTGTTTTGCTACTTGTTTGCGATTGTGTTCACGATGGCTTACAATTACCGAATACCGATCGATTCACCCATATATAGTTTCAACAAATATGTAGTCAGTTTCAGAAACCGATATTGAATATCGATATGTAGTTTCGAATCGATTTTGTGAAAAACTCATAGATTACCCACCGCTAAGACCGAGCGCAACTCAAGTGAAGTTAAAGGAAGTTTACAAACAAGCTGGAACATGCTCGCGCATTCGCTTGTTTTATCAACCTTATTTACTAGAAGCTGTCAATTATTAAACACTAACTGTTTTCCCGCAACTTCGCCTGCGTTAATTATCCACTTGACCACTATCAGACTTCATTTTCTCCAAAAGTGTTATTAAATAAAGGACAACCAATTTTTATTAATTATTTAAATTGCGTCGCGAAAACATTAGTTATGTTAAATTACGAGTCGGGACTTTACATTTTAATAAACATGAGTACGGTTGCGCTCGCAACAAAGAGGTTTAGTTTATTGAAATGTGACGTCACACGGTGCTCCGTCATAGCCGCCGTTTTTCGGTTCTTATAATTCACAGAATCGAATATACTTTTAAGTTACCATTTCCAAATATATTTACAACCGTCAAGTCCCCAAATATATCTTATGGCACCCGTGTATATTGTACCTTTCCGTACGTGAAAGAATTTTTGAATTGGTCTAGTAGTTTTAGAGTCTATGCAATCCAAACAAACAATCAAATAATTCGTTCCTATAATATAAGTATATATAATTTGTGTTTTATTTAAAATTTTGTAGTCTATTTACAAGTGATTTATTAAAATCCCGCATCAGCAACAAGCCCGATATGTACCATCCTCATTCGACGCTCACACAATATCTGTGTCATTTCCGTCCGCTAGAAACAGACTATAATTTTTTGAACATATTTCTTTTATAAGCTTCTATTGAATGAATTTAACCGATTTTTATGTGATCACGTGTCCCTTATACAAAACGTACGATGACCATAAACACTGGCATTTCGTACCGAGTAAAACAATTAGTTAATAATGTTACATTCCTTAATCAAAATTGAGTTTATCAAAATATACTCAACACAGCACAGCCTAAAGTTAGTGCTCGAAAAGCTTCTTTAGTGGCACAAGCGTTTTTATTTATTTATTCGGTCAAACATATTTAACTATCAAAATTCTGTTTTATTTATTAGTATTATGGTTTTATAAATGTACCTATTTATTTATTTATTCACACGTCGCACACCAACAGGCCCTGTCTGAATATCAGCGTTGGTGCGACCTTTGTAGTTACAACTTATGCTGAGACAGGATTCTGATTGACCCAACTGTCACTTATTTATTGATTTATTTTCCTCTCCATTTCTTGTTAAGTAATGTTTGTTTTATGTTTATTTTTTGTTGTTTTATTATGACAAGTTTGCGGGTCAATAAACGAGTGTTCTTTCTTTCTTTGTTAACCGAAACGAACTTTACTGTGATTAATTAAAGACTAAATTTCTTTAAAATATTCAATACAATACATATTGTGGTGTGCGCAGTACATAACGAAACAGTCATGGTTGATATCTGTATTGATGCATTCAAAGTAGTAAAGTTAATCAGATACTTTTTATTTTGACATTTATACTGTAATATAAATATATGTAAAACATTTATTTACCAACCAATACTATTATACAGGTATATTTTCTGTTGTGTGTGAAAAAAGTGTATTATTTTTGCACTTTTCATGAGTACGACGCGTGTATGCGTCAACTAAAGTGCAATGCTTATGAAGCGTTTGAGAACCGTGTCGTTATGCGTGCATTTGTATAGTACAACGTAAATTGCATTCAGTCGATGTGCATCATTTCTAGATAGTGCAGATGTTTATTATAATGATAGTTTTTGTTGTCGTCGCTTTGTATACATTATGGTTTTATGTAAATATTTCTTTATTGTGTTACATTAATTTAGTGTAGTGATGTCTAAGGGAAGCGCAAGTCGGAAACTTTTGTACTAACGCATAATTTGCATTTAATCTAGCAATAGAATTTTGACTGAAGCCAAAATACACAATATTTTTTACGCGACTCTACTATCTGCAAGTACACACAGCGAGCCAGCTCGCTTAACTGTTGCAACATATTAGGTATATTACTGTCCAACAGATGCTAGCCTCTGAATGTTACATTAGTATGAATATATTGTATCTCGATGCCTTACGCTTGCCAGGAAGTCACATTATAATAATAACGGTCATCAGATCTCATATTTATTATTCAGATGCTGTAAAATCTGTTATAGAGATCTTTTATAAATATTTATACATGTTGCACGTGATGTAAATTGCGTACCGTTATCTATTTGATGGAATAACTTTTGGAAAAGTTGTAATTTTTTAAGTAATATTGCAACAAACATGTCGATATCAGGTAAAGCAGCACTTTTTATGTTAAATTAACTTTGATTAATAATGAACAATCTGTAAAAAAAATAAATATAAATAGCGTAAACTATTGTGATAAAAATGTCATACATTTTTGATTTACGCAGAATTGTGTAGGAAAAATTTGTAATCAGTGCATACATTTAATATATAAACAATTTTTTGTCGTCAGGCGTTATGATAGCACGTATAAAGAAAATAGATTTTTATACATACACATATACATGATTAATTTTCTGGGTTTAATTGATACACAACTAGATACACAAACGACAATTAAAAGTTTCATTAGTTTAAAGCGATATGACCCATACAAATCTGACATTCATTGGAGCTTAAAGGCATCATGAAACCTTAATGGAGTTTGTGTGACTGACACAATGCTAGATGTTTATTATTACAAATACAAAGAAGGAGGTTCAATTCTGACCTGTCAACGACATGTTAGCGAGGAACTAAATGAAAATAAAGATTGGCCGCTAATTTTTTTATTCCTGTAACCTTTAAAAAAATCTTGTTTTCAACGTTACTTTCAAGTTAATTAATCTTACAACATTTATAGTTGTATTATTTTATTTGAAGTTTTAGTTAATTATTA